CAGCGCAAATACAGTAGAAGGTACAGTAAAACAACATAACGTAAAAATAAAAGAAAAAAAAACACATAACACGAGGAAGTCATTGCGGAACAAAGTGGCCATGGAAATCGATAGAGCATGGAAAATTTCGTCCAAAATCGGCCGAAAGTTTGAAGTTTGACTAATGCAAATAATGCCAAAAAGACGTCTACGATGATTTCTTTTTTGACTGTACTGTAGTTAACTGCTTTTTGTTTTGTACAACTGAAACTCGAAATTAAGTCACTGATCGCATAAAAATGACCCTAGGGACTGGCAGCCAAGCAAAACCCCTTTATCTTTTGAAAGCCCTTCTACCTTCTGTGTGTAATGATGGGCAATCGTTTCTGATCTCAACGAGTGTTGCGGACCACTTTTGATTTCCCCTCCAATATCGAGAGCTAAATGCTTGATGAAATCCGTTTCATTCTCGAAGGCCGAAATTAAGACCGTTACAGTAACATCAGTAGCACCGAATGGTCGAGTCTCACCCTTCATCTAACCTTAATCCTTTCATACTTCGAAGACCTATCTGTTTGGATCGTGCATCGACCAGACTAGCCAGCCTTCCACCCTATCTGGATCGATCAGTTGATACCAAAAATGTGTGAAAGAACAATTGTTCTGGCGTGTTCATCGGCAGGTTCTACAGTCTTGTAGGCTAAATACGCCCTCGTGCCAATGCAACCCTCGGCTGAATTCAAATGTATGGTAGATCCCTGGAGCATAGATCGAAGTCAAGCCTCTTTTCTTCACCATTTCACTCCTTCCTAGCATATATAGACTGGTAGGTTTTGAATGGGTCACCTTTTGCGTCAGTCAATCATTTATGCCAGCAGCCGGTGTGTTTTGATTGTATTCGGCGATTGGGACGTTCCCAGTGTTCCTCTTGTAAATGCCGCAGACCTTCTTTAAAACTTCTGCGCTGGACCGTCTAGTGGCCTTGAGTTCATTCAAAAGTGTTCTAGAACAGACCAAAGGGGCGGAGTATGGTGACAATTCGGGAGGGCTCTATTGGTATGGTGTCTATAAAAAGGGCTCGCTCGCGTTGAGATGACTCATTTTCGCTCTGTTCTCTATTGAACCTAAACAATATTGAAAGTTATTGCCTAACACTGAGGTAGATTTCGCGAACCGTGCTCCCTTGAGTATAAGGCGTGGGATCTACCTTACTGTGCTGAAAATTGTTTTCTTTTTGTAGAACAGAAAAAAATTTATGGTCTTCTAGTAGAACGTTATCTCGTGCTTCCGGTTCTTGATGAGTAATCTGTGTAAACGTCTTAATTAGTTGCCACGACACTCGTGGACATGTGGCCCCGTATGGCGTGGACGATCCATCTTGAATTCCTTATGTCGGATAGCATTTTTCTTTTTCAAAAGCTATATTTCTGGTAAGAAACCATTTTAGCGCTCAGGATGGAAAAGCATGTGATGATACAATTAAAGGTAGCCCCAGGATCAGACCGGTGTGATTCTCGCAAACGAAATTGAAGCATAGGTGCAGGGGAGAGAAGGGGTAGGTTGGCGAGAGAGGAAAAAGTAGAAGAAACCGTCGAAAATGCTGGAGTTAAGGATTCAATCAGTTATTTGATACGGCTGTCCTACTGCAGTGAGAGACTGAGGGCGAAGGAGAGAGTACAGGCGTGAGAGGACAACGGATGAGGGAACCAGAACCCAGTATGCTAGTGTCGAGAAAAAAGGAAGCCGACGAAGCGATAGTTGTAAGGCCCTCAGCCTGCCTTTCGCCTTTCAAAGCATGGGACATCTGCGGTCTCCGGAGCGGCTTATCCTACAGGCAGTTATTCACCTGAATCGCCCAGGGTTGCGCTTTTAAAGGCACGCTCCGCGATCAGGCGGGCTCGCCTGTTCCATCCAGGGGGTAGGTAGGCGGTGGACAAGTGTTGATGTCGGGCCCCTTTTGCGGCTTGAAAGTGCGCGACAAAGGCGCAAGGAGCTCGTCCAACCCGCAACTCACACCTTCGTCCGCAAGCCCCACCCTCCGCTGTCGGTTGCCACGTGGCGCTGCTTGAAAAGCGCGGGCGCATTTGAGGCAGCGGTCCCGATCCAATGTTATTGGCACTGGAGCAAGTAGAGTTAGGTTCGTGAAACTCGTCCAACGCGCCCTTCTCTATCCCAAGGTGGAATGTGGCTGAAATAGGGGAGGTCTCTGTACGGGGCGTAATCGGTGGTTTCGTTTGCTTTCCTTCTCTTTTACAGACCACCTCCCACCTATAGCTTCATAACTGAACGCTTTTCCACACCTATTTATCCCGAATCTTGCCTTTAAGTGCCCACACCTCAAATATTAGACTCCGTTATTTTGTTCTCTATGCACCTCCTTCCCTTCTGTGGCCTTACTTTCCTCATGAGCAGACTATCTATACTGTCTTTTGGCCTTCTTCGTCTCGGGATACCTAATATTACCTAATTCATATGACATAGGTTTTTGAGCGCTCCACTTACTCTGTTCCCGTGATTCTCCTTTCCTCTTGTTTAATAATCAATTATGATTTTCGTGTTCTGCAAAAGAGAGAAAATGAAAGATAAAATGCTTGAGTGCTTGGTGCTGAGTCTTCAACTAGATCTGATAGTTAGAGCAGAGTGGAGACTGATGAGCAGCATGTAACATCAGCAGCAAAAACCCCTTGGGTGCTATACAAGTAGGGTGGGCACGCCGCATTTTTTGAACAGAAATGTATGTAAGTGGGACTGCTGCCCGCTACTATACTGTCACGAGAATCGGGGAATTCGTGAGCCAGGGGGAGTGTAGCCAATCTAGGGGGTGAGGGCAGTCACTTGACATGCGTGAAAAGCTGGGCGTGCCCACCCCACTTGTATAGAGCCCTTCCTTGTTCTTCCATGTTTTACTAAGACCAGAGGATAAGGAGAAGCTTGATATTGTACAACACAATTCCTGGGTTTCAAGCAACTAATCCTGAAAGGGGAGGCTCTTCAAAAATCTGAACAGTGTCTAAGTCAACATCACTGTTGAGATTTCACCTGGTCACAGACTATAGATCAAAGCGATTGCAACTCCATTGGTTTACCCCGCCCACCTTGTTTCATTCTTCCAGTGTGCTCTGTTCGGCTCAGCCGTACTCGCCTTTATTTATTCTTTCTATTGAGTTTCTCGTGGGCAAATGTAGTTCATTGTGCGTTCCCAAGTTGGCTCTCCGAGTGTTCAATGGTCTTTCATTCGTGTGCGGCCTTCCTGCATTGATTTGAGCTACGTGTTTGCCTGCTGAACTCTGCTCTCAACACCTGCCTGTCTCTATTTGCTGAAAACCAAAAAGAACTCGTCAAGTAACCTGCATCCGTCGCAGCCTCGTAAAGTCTCGGAGAAGTTGTGAGTAACCACTACGCAACTTTCTGCGCTTCCTAGACGGGTATTGCTTATATTGCACGGTTTTTGTAGATGGTTAATGCGTACCCCTGACTCGAATCAGGTGACGGTTATCCTTCACACTTCCTATTGGGGTAACTCGTCGCTCTTCGCCCACAGCTGAATCTTGGACGTGAATAGTTCCTCGTTCCATTGCATACGAATACAATCTGATTAGTTCAGTCACTCTGTGGACGGAATTGGAGACGGCAGGAACTGTAGCACCTATGTTTCCTTGTTTGTATGGGCTTAAGAGTTGATCAGCGCCGATAGTTTAGTCCTCTTTCTACAGCTACAAGCTCAACACCTCGCCACAAGTTATGCGGCGATGGCTTCCTCGGAGGTTCGTTCTAGGGAGAACACAATGACAGTTCACTAAAGGAGGAAAATGTGAGGATCACATGCCTGCATTAGGTACAACAGTGGAAGACCACTCTTTGAAAGGGACGCATCTAGGTTGTTAAGGGTTTCAGTATTGGCACGTGCGGTACTTGCCTTTTGAACGATGTTTTTTCCCTCGTTTCCAAAGACTATTCAAACAAAGGGAGACCTTGAAAACTGACCTTTCGTAAAAAAACTGTCTGAGCCACGAGCCACGATCCGATCACGTAAGCCTGTGCGAGGTCGCTCCGTCGGCTGTCGCGCCTGCTGTCAAAGATTGAGTAGTTCGAAGATCGTTCACCGCGATGAGAAAGTCGTTGGAGCAAAAAAAAAACGCAGATCGCATCATTGACCTTTCGCATAGATGACAAACTCTGATGGAATTCTTAAGATGGAGGTATGGACCCTGTTCGTGTTTCTGAGTAGCTTAGCTCTGGCACTGAGAACGATAATCAAACCCATTCAACATCCCCATTTCTGCCACCTCGGCATCGATGTTAGCTTTGTTTTTCTCGAAAGAAATGTTTAGCGACCCTTTTGGACAGTTTCTTGTTTACGGTCATCTTCCTAATAGTCAAGCGTTGTTCGAGTGTGATAGATCCACTTCTTGTTACTTGTTACCTCTACTATCCGTTGATGTCGTCATTACTTCCGACCAACTGCTGATTCGCACACACAGTGATCAACTGATTTTTGTGATCCTTTCTGCGAATTACGGCAAAATTTTTGCAGAGAGGGAGTGCTAAGATATAAACCTCACAAGCAGGAAAACGATCTCCACGGTTGACCAGAAGAAAACTCTTCATTTTGCTGAACTTTACTCAGCTAATGAACCTATCTATTGTCATGACTGATTCAGGATCCATGCCCCTTCAGTCAGAGATCGCACCCCATGAAATATTTATCAAGCAGGTGTCCAAAGAAGAAAGCAAGTTTCAAATCAGAGGTTGAGAGTAAGTTTTTCAAGAGAGCATAGCTAATGGCGAAAATTGTGGAACCATTCGATACCTCTAACTACCCTGATACACTTTGTTCATTGTCTGCTTTTTTCTTTGATGATTCTGCCTCCATTCCCTATCTGTGATCAAACCATCATTTACTTCCTTAATTTGCCCAGCTTGCTTATCTGCGCCTTCATTGATAAGCATGCATGTTTCAATAACACTTCAATACTCGTTATCACGTCCGTTTCGTGAACACGACCCGATTCAGGTAAAAGATGGTCAACTACAAGCTAACGTACTTCGATGGACGTGGTGTTGCAGAGACTGCACGTCAGGTGGGCTATACATAGCATTTCATTTCTCTCGATACATTTCGTTAGCAAGTTGGGAATGGGAGTGTCAGAGTTGCACTCTGCCATGCGCGTTAACAGTGGATACTGTTTGCACTGCACTGATCCTTAAGCTCCACCGCAATGGGTCAACTCTTCAAATGAAGAACTTGACTTCTGAGTTACGGCACATGTTTGAAAATAGGCGACTAGCATTAGTAGTTCATATTGCTCAAAAGCAGCGATTACGATAAGTTTGTAGGAGGGTTCAGGGAGACGAGGTGGTGCTCAATGGTACGCCAGTGGCGAAAAAGCAGAGAAATCCGTCAAGAAAACGCAAAATGGGCCTGTTTGGGCCTTTGGCTTCCACCTATGAACAGGTGGCAGCTCAGAGGTCGGACTTATGAATGAGTTCACTCTTTGTGTGTCGGTGTGAGCAGACAGCTTTTTGGCATTACTTACTCAACCCAGCTACCATGCTTACCTACTCTAGAGCCCCGAAGTAAATTCTGCTTGAAAATTGGGATGACTACCCGCCTCATATATATCCCAGAAAAGCTCAATTCAAAGCACAATTTTTACGCTTGTCTTTTCTTCTTTTTTGTTAAACTGACCTCATGTCTCATGTTTCAAGCTTTTCGCCCTCGCCGATCAGAAGTTCGAGGATGTTCGCTTGACCAGGGAAGCCTTCGCTCCACTGAAAGAGTGTAGGTATTCTTATTCGGATTGTTTTGCTCAAGGAATCGATGCACTATTTTCAGCCATGCCATTCGGACAGATGCCAGTGCTCGAAGTTGATGGTAAAAAACTGGCCCAGTCATTGGCGATCAACCGCTACTTGGCAAAGACCTTTGGTAAGAGAGTGATTGAGAAGAGAATGGTCCGTGATCCTGGATCAATTTCAATTTGGTAGGAAGTCCCGCTGGCTGGTCCCATGCGATTTCATCGCTTTGTAGCATATCATGTCGAGCTATGGTCGTGGTCTTTGACGGCCGTGTCGTTTTGATTTTAGAAGAACACGGAAATTTCCACAGAGTGGAATTGGTCACTCTCAAACGACTTTGAGCTGCAGCATTTTTCACCCAACGTGGGGGTACAATATTGTGAACTTAGCGTCGGAAAGCTAGCTTTCCGAAGCTCTAGAGCCCTTGCCAGGCCTTGCCATATACTGAAGTGCTATACGTGCGGTGTTCTCTAGGGTTCTATCCTACTGCCCAGGAGAGTCGTTCGCATGACTTCTGCCTGGGTTGCGCCTCAAAGTCAACATACATCAAAACGGCAGTTCCTTGGAATTGACGGCAAAAGCAAGCAAACCTTTTCAATGCTTCCGATAGTTTTGAAGGTCTGCCTTCCTTCTTGAACTAATTTTTCATGCACGGAGTTCGTAGGCTTGATCGCACATTACATTCAGACCGGGGAGTAATGCAAGCAAGTTGACTCCTCAAGGTATGAGTCTGCTCGGACACATCAATCCAAAAATGGATCCCCTGATTTTTCCTGTCTGAAGGCTTATTGAAAGGCTTATCAAGGAGTGAGAATGAGATAAGTTCACAATATTGTACCCCCACGTTGGGTGAAAAATGCTGCAGCTTAAAGTCGTTTGAGAGTGACCAATTCCACTCTGTGGAAATTTCCGTGTTCTTCTAAAATCAAAACGACACGGCCGTCAAAGACCACGACCATAGCTTAACCAGCGAAGCAATGTTTCCTGCCCACGTAAGGCTGTTGTCTGGCTCCTCTTATCCGTTGCACTCCTTCGCCTCATGCCCTCCTCTCTGTGCTCGGTCTCTCGTTTCCTTACCACAGCCGCATGTTGACGATGAGCGAGATCTCGACATTGACGTTTTTGACAAAACCATTACCTTATCATTTTCCACAACTGCGTGCTCGTTGCTCAATGACACCTTCATATTTGTGAAGCAACCACACCAGTTCGATCTTTCGGCAACCTTTGGGAGGATCTCGGTCAACGATAAGGGAGAAGGTTGAAGAAAATATAAGGAAATATAGCTAGTATGAGGGCAGGCGGGCTCTCTAAGTGTGCGGGACAGTGCGCGTTTTGCAGTGAAAAGTATGAACCAGTGGCCTACCAGGGCCTTCCGTCTGACTCTAGCCGATTAGCGGAGCGCTGGTGTCGAAGAGGGCAGCATCGACGAGAAATCAGTGGGCAAAGAAGCGGTCCCAAATTTCGTGTTCTGAGTCGTTTCTCACTGTTTTTCCTTCATCCCTGCACCATTGTTCACATTTTCCTTGATTTGTGCTGGAACTGCCTTTCCGTAGTAAACTCCGCCTTCGAGCCACCGATTTGTGGGGAAGTATAATTGCAGCGATTCTATGCACAATTTTCCCAGATAAAAGAAAAATCCCTGGAACCTGGTAACGTAACCACATTAACCTTCAGGTTTCGCTGGCAAAGACGACTTCGAATCAGCCCTCATTGACTCGCTGGGCGATCAGTACGCTGATTACCGCGCTGAAATGAAGAGCTATTACTATGCAGCACACGGCTTCATGCCTGGAGATCCAGTAAGTAAAAAACACTTCACATAGAGAAAATAATTCTATACGATACGATATTGAATGGTTTAGGAGAAGCTGAAGACTGAGGTGCTACTGCCGGCTCGGGACAAATTCCTTAAGCATATCACCAACTTCCTCAAGAATAATGCCTCTCATGGTAAGAGCTAGAAGATGATAACACAAGCTGATTGCTTTCGAAGAAGCAAAGGGCAAAGGCTGCTAGTGAATGCACACGGTCATAAGATAGGTGCCATATGAAGTCATATAAAAACCCGTTCCCGACTAGAATCGAAAGCGTAAGAAGAGGAACAGGTGTAGCATAATAACGTGAACTATTCGTTATAGTTGGTGATATTAGAGGCCTTTCCTCTTTTGGCTGTTTCAGGGATTAGTTCTAACCCATTTGAGTTAGAAAACGGCTGGTGGGAACACTTTCGGACGATG